TTTGTATTTCTTTGAAAAATATTATAAATAGAAGCGCATTAATAAGTAAGAGTTAATACGTAATACAATTGTCCAATCACAAAATGTTTGTAATTAATTTGGATATGCTTACAAAGTATAGATAATCAAGATCAACAATCACTATTTTTTTATGTTGGTCATTAGTCCTTTATTTGTTTTTAGGTTGATCACTTTTTCTTTTCAATGTAGTGGATTGAATATAATCATCATGCGTGAGATCTGTAACATCACTAGTATTGGTAGTACAATGATTAGATGTATCTTTCTCATTATTCGTGTTGATTCAATGACACCTACATTTTATGATCGATATAAAACGACTTTGAAAACGATTTCACAACGAGCATGTCAAATTAAAATAAAAATAAAAATGCATAATGAACGGTGTGAATAAGGGAGTAGTATTATTACTATTGTTCAAAAGCAATTTGAGGAATAATTCTTAATTCAGGATCATCGTCACTTGTGAAATCTATTACGCTCGTTTCTCCTCCAACACTCATTTCGGCAAAAAAAATGAGGTGTTATTTTGGGTACTCAAATTTGATATCAACGCGTGGGATGATTGTATAGTATCTGTAAGTTCAAAATCAAATAAAAAATATTAGTTTTATGAAAATAATAAACATTATTTATATATTAATTCTATGGGATAGAGTTAGAAAAATTTTACTCTAAATATTGGAATAAATATTAATCGTCGGCGTACATGACTCAGTAATTCCAAAAAATTACAATAAACATTACAAAGTAGCCAAGAAATTAAATAACAACATTAAAGTTTGTAAAAAGTAAGCTGGAGAAATTCTAATTTCAATTTAACATTTGAAATATCAGACAATGACGACTTTGTGCACGCTGCAACGTATCATCTATTATATTATATTTATTTTGTGCATTACGCATAATTGTCGAATGATGAGTCACTCTTTTTTCTGAAAAATAAAATAAATAGAACAAAATTATGTTTGATTTACATATCATTTAGAACACATGTAACGTATTTATCTTGTACATATAATATAATATATATAAATATATGTTTTTATTAATTTAATATATCAAATAATATTGTAAAAATACAACATACATATAAATACTTGTGCCTAAAATGTAGTGTGGAATCGCTATTAATCATCAGTCCAAACCCAATTAAATTTTTTGAATTAGCAAAGCCCATCACAAAGATATCGGGCCCAAAAATAGCAGTCCTAAAAAAATGGCTAAAGGACTCATTTATGTCCCTTGAAAAATTGTTTTCCGAAAAGACGACGTTTTTAAAACAATGCTAGTTGTATGCTTCCATGTCTTTTTTATTTCAGCATTTTCTTGTATAAACTTTGTGTGTATGATTTTAAGTTTTAAGTTTATCTTGTGTTTATTACAACTCTCAAATACTTATTTAAAACTAATTTTAAACTTTTGATTCATTATTTTAAATCTACTTACGTTTTCTTTTATAAAACTTTTTGTTTATGGTTTTAAGTTTATCTTGTGTTTATTACAACTCTCAATAAAACTAATTTTAAACTTTTAATTTATCATAAAAGTTTATCTTATGGTTTTAAGTTTATCTTGTGTTTATTATCTACGTTTTGTTAAATAAAAAAAAAATCGAATGAAAAAAAAAACTGAAGATAAACTAAAAATAAGATTAAAAAACCCATAATCAAATCATCATAAATATCAAATTAACTATCAAAATCTTTCAAAAACATAAAATATATACTTGAACTCACCAGGAATTGGGATCGCATGGACAAAAAATTCTAACTCTCTCTCAAATTCCAAAAGAAAAATAGAGCAGAAATTAAAAACAAATCAAAGCAACTCATAGATCTATAGATCTATCAATGAAACTTCCGAAAAAAAAACAAAAAAAATCAAATCAAATTTTGCTAAAACCCTAAATTAGCAAACCACAACTTTTATCTCAAGGCGGTTACATTTTGAGCCTCAAGGCGGCGGGCGGCCGACGACGAGAGGAAGAAGCCGGACATGGAGTAGATCTCGAATCGAAGGTGATGTTGGCGACGGTTCGGAAAGCGCTAAAACCTCCCGTCGGTGGTGCGTGGCGAAGATGGAGAAGCTCTTGTGACGTCGGCTCCGTTGACCACCTTCGTCGGACCTTGTGGCGTGCGCTATTGCAGGCGTGTTTAGTTGTTCTTCGTTGTTCGAAGAGAAATTGGGTTGGGGGAATAAGAAGTAATTCTAATATTTAAAAGAAACAGATAAAGATGAGATTGAGATAAGTAATATTTGGTTGAAATTGAGAGGAAAAACTAGATTTGGTATTAATAATATTATCTCGTTAATGAGAAAAGAAAAACTTAAGGGTCGTCCGCTAGGTAATTTTCTCTAAAAAGATTGACCAAATTGATTGTTAATTTTTAACCCAACCCAGTGATTTAGGATTGACAGGAAATGTGGATATTGCATTTTAGGATTGACAGTATATTTGTCGGCAGCTAGTCGGTTCTCTTGTTTTCTCAGTTGTGTTGTCAGTAAAAACTTGTTCCTATTTTCTTACTTTGGTAGTCTTTTGCTTTTCTTCAGTTTGTGCTTTGCTTGGGTTAGCCGCTAGACTCCTTTGGTGTATTGGCAGCTGATCTTTTTGTTGTGTCATTATACAGTTTTTGTAATAGTCTTGAATTGGAGACCAAGCACACTGGTTTCAGTGCCACCTTACTTTCCAGTCTTTCGTTTGAAACGTCTAAAGGGCTAGTTGACTCTTGTTTGTACATTTTTTTGTGAGTTATAAAATCTATCGTTTCGAAAAAAAAGTTAAACATCTTATCAAATAAAATATTATTTGAGTGAACGAGCTTTAAGTTATATAAAGTCGATTTATATGCAATTCGAACACATATCGATTAGAACAATCGAATGTGATAACTAAGGTATGGTTTGTTCAATAGAGAGGAAGGAAATTGAGGAATTTTGATGGAAAGGAGGGTATGTAAAAAATAACGGGATGAGATCTTAGTAAAATATGTACATTATTTGTTTAAAGGTAAAGGAAAAAAATATCAAATTCATTTAACATTTTACTTCGAGATCCCTCTAATTTGGTGGGGAAGGATACTTGAAAGAAGAGGGGTTTCTATTATACAGAAAATTTTCCCCTTCTCTACTTAAAATTCAACCAAACGACGATTTTTTCCCTCTTCCTCCCTTGTACCAAACGGATTATTAAAGTTCTATGGCGGCAATAATCAACTGAAGGAAAGACCAAGTGAAAAAGTTTCCATTCATAGTAAAGGGTTACACTTCTCAACAATGCTATCAGTTGAAGATCTTATCAGTGATAAGTGTGCAACTTCCATCGTTCTTGTTGTACTACTAACCGTATTAACATGAATTAAAAAACAACCCTGTTTTGTTCCTTCATGGAAAAAATCATTTAATACAAATCCAAAACAGCCAGTGCAAAAGTAATAACCCAACCTTTAGAACTCAGAAAGTATCTCAAGTTTACGAGCCTGAAAAAATTTGCAACGACTTTTACCACTTGATTCGATGTCTTCAGTTTTTCTCTTCAGTGTGGTGAAACCGACGCTGGTTAACTTCATTTGCTTTTTGCTACTCTTTCCATTCCCAGCTTCATCAGGGTCATCAGATTCCCTATTGTTATGACATGATAAACTGCCTTCAAGATATAATTAATTTAATGGAGAACAGATAACAAGAAGTTTTAAAATATCAACCTCTGCACAAGGTTTATTGATATTAAATAGTATCTATAAACAATAATAACTTCATACAATGATACAAATACATTTAAATATATATTTAGTATGCTTATTTGTAGTGCTACTTGATCCTTTTCTACCAAAAAAAACAACAATATTTTTATATATTATTCTTATTTATCAGAGTTGCTTTTTGTGAAAAGGAAAATTGAAAAGAATCAGTCCAGCATAAGCTAAAGCATATGTAGTGTTCCTCGACACATAATAAGATACTGGATCACAAACTAACCATAATACATCAACAAAGTCTTTAGAATAAGATGTGCATGTTCCCCAACTGAAACGGACCAGCGTTGGGAACCCAAAAACTGGGTGCTTGTGATCTTCCAGCCAAGCTTTTGTATGCGGATCTGTACAAGGACATCACGAAATTCACAAAAACACAACAAATCACATAAACCAAAA